TATAAGAATTCTATTCAGCCATAAAAAAATGAAGTCATGTCTTTGCTGCAATGTGGATGGAACTGGAGGCCACTATCTTAAGTCAAACCACGGAGAAACAGAAAGTCAAATACCACATGTTCTCAGTTACAAGTGGGAGCGAAATGATGTGTCCACAGGGATGCAGAGGATGGAGTAAGTGACCCTGGAGACTACGGAGGGTACGAGGGTGTCAGGGGGTGAGGGAGGAGAAATTATGTGGGGTAAAATGTACATTATTCGGGTGATAGTTACACTAAATGCCCAGATTTCACCACTGCACAATATATCCATGTAACAAAATTGCACCAGTAGCCCTTAAATTTATACAAATAAGAAAGGAAAAAAATAAATAAAATAAAATTTGCACTACTTCTTGTGGGCTCTCTTACGACTTTTTTATCCCCTCCATGTGAAAAATAGAACAGGGTGCTGAGACAATATATCAACAAGAACAACAAAAACCCCTCAACATGTATTACTCTGTGCCACTCATTTTTCTGAGTGCTTTACCAGTACCAATTCATTCCACCCTTGTAACAGACTGTGCAAAACAATACTAATGTTTCTTGTATTTTTTAGATGACACAAGTGAGGCACAGATAGGTTAAGTAACCTGCTCAAAGACACACAGCATGAGGACCGAGCCTGGTGCTGAAGCCAGTTCAGGTCTCATGCTTCAACTGAATCACACACTCTAGTTACTCTCCACTCTGATGTTACAGTAATCGCCCCACCATGCACCAACCCTAAAGAGTTCAACACACACACACACACACACACACACACACACACACACACAGAGTTCTCATTCCCCATTATTGATCCATTTTCTCTGGTTTTCTGGTCTTCTGGGATTTGCCATTAATTGCAAGAACTCCAAGCTGTCACACCACCTCAATTATCAGCTAACTCCTTAGACACTAATTAAATAAAACATCAGGGTTAAGGATAATTCCACAGCCAGAGGAGAGCAAGTCCTGGGAGAAGGAGCAGGGCCCTTATAGAAAACGGTGGAGAGGATGAGATCAAGTTAAACCTGAGGGATAATTTTGAAATGAACAGGGAACGTGACACGGGCACGGTGTATTGCCTGAAAGCTTTATCCTCGGAAGTAACCTCCAGCATGTCAAGGTGTCTATAGGCACTCTGGGGGACCAAGGTTAGGGCAGATCCACGGACCTCACGCACTGCCAAGGGAGAGTCCAGAAAAGCCTGAGTCTCCCCAGCAAGGCTGTTGCAACGGACAGCAGACTCCTTCTAGACTGAGAATAATCTCTCAGACTTGCTCAGAGGGCGGGGTTCCAGTAAATGGCAAGGCCACAGTGGCCCATCAGAGAAAATGAGCTGTGTCTTCCTGGAATACGAAGAGCATTTCTAGTAAGTCCATCCTTAAATATCCCTCTGCAACTAAGGCCAGTACAGGCTGCAATATAGCCTTCAGTCCTAAACCAAGTCTTCTGTAGGAGCCGGGTACCCTGGAGGTAAATGATTCATCCTCAACTCTAGTCAAGCTAAAATCTGTACAGTGCAGTGGAGGTGCAGGCTGCGGCAGTATTAACACTGGTCTATGCTGGAGACCACGGGCACATGAGGTGGAGGATGGATGAGTCGATGAACAATGACCACGCATTCAGCAGCAAGTGTAAAATTGTGTTGGGTAGTTTTATCTAGAAAAGGGAGCTGGGAGCAGAACAGGATGCTCTGCCTGTAGGTAGGCATGCTCTCTGACCCTCATTGGAACAGCGGATGTTGCACACAGTGTATGGGGACCCTGAGCCCCTTCCTCTGCTTGCCCCTATTTTTGAGGATGCTGAATTGCAGTCACAAGGGCAGTATTGAGCTGAGCAGGGCCATGGAAAGAGAAAAAGAGAACGCAAAGCTGAATAGTATCAGTCCCCGAGAAAGCAAGCTTCAGATTGAAAAATCTGAAAAAGTCAGACCACATAAAAACGCGAAGAAGTGTGGCGGTGGTAGGGGGGAGGCATGTGCAGAGGGGCCGACCCTGCGTGAGCCGTGCGCTGAGGGCTGTGCAGCCGTATCCTCCCTCCCATAGGCCATCACTGCTGGGCCCCAGCTCCTTCTCCTCCTCTTCCCCTCCTCCCCAGCACTAGAAGGAATAACTGATGAGGCTGAGGACTCTACGTACCCTCCGGAATAAGGAGCTATTTGAGGGATGAGGCTTTTAGATTTGCTACCAAAATCAATGATCATTTTTGTGAATAAATTGCATTATTTATGCTGTGAATGACATAATATGTAAGACATGTTCATGTTCTCACACATAAGTGGGAGCTGATCAATGAGAACACAGGGACACAGGGAGGGGAACATCACACACGGGGGTCTGTCGGGGGGTGGGGTCTAGGGGAGGGAGAGCATTAGGAGAAATACCTCATGTAGATGATGAGTTGATGATGCAGCAAACAACCACGGCACGTGTATACCTGTGTAACAAACCTGCACGTTCTGCACATGTATCCCAGAACTTAAAGTATAATATTAAAAAAAAAGAAAAGAAAAAAAAAGAAATTACAATCTCCCTAAAAAGTAAAAAATTAACATATTGGAAATGATTACCAAGTGATAACAGCACATTTAAAATTTTTTCATTAGACGAGGTCTTTAATATTTTTCAGGTTTACAGGGTGTTTAACAAAGTCGTGCATGCAAAAGGGAAACTGGGCTGGGCGAGGTGGCTCACGCCTGTAATCCCAGCACTTTGGGAGGTCAAGGTGGGAGGATCACTTGAGTCTAGGAGTTGGAGACTAGTCTGAGCAATAGCAAGACCCCATCTCTATTTATTTTAAGTAAATATAAAATACATTTTTTAAAGGGAAACTGATTGTTACTTTTAAGAGGGACAGATTATGACATCCAGAGGCTTACAAGAAAGTAACTTCCCCTCTGTGTGAACCAGCATTGGGTGTTTAAATAGCTTACCCCGTGGACTCGTACCCCAGTCCCTGAACGAGGTGAACTTCTTAATCTTTCTGAACCTCTGAGTTTTCCAGAGTTACTGACACGGGATATGGGAGGGCACATATGCGGTGCCTGGTGCACAGTCAGAGCTGCTGGGTGCCCGTTCAGCGCTGACTTACTTCCCTTCTCCTGTCAATGCTAAGAATGTATTTAATCTTTCAAATTACAGTGTTATGAAAAATTAGACCTCAGGTCCGCTGTGGCAATAGGGATATTCATGGTCCTCAAACCCCCTTGTACTGTGGGAGCTACAGAAGATGATGAATAGTGTTCAATTAGTGAGGACAGTTAAAGGAAAGAAACGGCTGTCCTGAAACCAGAGGCGGGACATGAAGGGAAGGGAAGGAGGTAAGATTCCCAAGACATTCCTGCTATTCCCAGCAGGAGGATGTGCACTTCCCCAGACCCTGGCACAGGATGAGAAAGGACTGTGCACACACAGGGACACTAACTATGTTGCAGAGGCTGCTGAGTGAGACTGAGAATAAAGATGAAGAGGTGGAGTTGAGGCTGGGCCTGTGTGCTCTCAAGCCCCTGTGCCAGCTAATGTCTCGATTGTACTTGTCAGACTCCTGTCTAAGAAAAAGCATGCCATTGAACCAGGATGGCAAATGCAAACAAATAAGGAGAAAGGGGCTCTTTCTCTTTTTGTGACGAAAGAGTCCCTGTTACTATCAGTTCAGAAAAACACTGCTATCATTACGCCTCGTCCCCAAGACTCTCTTGAGTGTAATCCCAATGATGGCCTCTGCAGCTGAACAGGGCCTGGACCAGGCTACCCCGGTTGTGGGGTGGAAGGCTGCATTCTAGATTGAAGAAAGACACCCTTTGGACTAATAAGCAATAAAATCTATGATCCATAAAATTCTGTTTGCCCATCTCATAAGCTGCTTTCTAGGAATTCCACACACTGCTGTGAATTTGATTTTAGATCTTGTGTGGTGGAATAGGTAACAATGCGTTCCGTCAAGCTTCAGCAGAGATCTCAGCAGCAAATGTCAGGGATAAGAGATAGATAATACAGATATATGAATCGTAAGGATTATATATCCTCCAGGGAACGATATATATCTAAGGGTGTATCACAGCTCGCGGGTTCACAGACTAGCCTGCCAGCAGCCATGGCCTAAGTGCTGCTGTTAAAATACCATGTGGTGGCTGCCAAGGCAGAGGGACATGACGGGTCTCAGAGGAAACTACAGGAATTCCGTGTGAACACGATACAATCAGCAGATAACTCCTTGAGCGATGGGTTCTTATATTTTTGGTAATTGAAACACCTAAAGGTATCTTTGCTCTTAAGGCCTGAGTCTCAGAAAGATGACTTCGTGTGAGGGTGAGTGAGGGGTTGAAGCTGCCTGCAGAGAGGCAGGTAGCAAGTTCCAAGAGGGGTCCTGGTGAGGGTTTCTGCCCAGGATGGCAGTGGTGAGGATTCAGACGGTGCGTGCCTGCAACGAAGCAACATTGTATGGGTGGGATCACAGCACTGTATGGGTGTTGAATTATTTAACTTTGGTGTTGAACTAGAGTGAATGAGGAGTAGAACATGATTAGAAAGAACCTCAGTACTTGGCGTCACTGTGACTGAGGAGAAGTCAGCCAGAATTAAGGTGAAGGAGCTGCTTTGAGTCTGGGAGGATGGCTGCCAGCTGAAATTTGGGATGCCTCAGTTCACAATGTCAAAAAGGGGGTTAGAGGTCAGTGAGGAACTGGCAGATGTAGAAACAGCCTGGAGGGATTCCGTTTGAATGCGACGGCGACATTTGTGGGAATGATTGTGTCCATCCCGGGAAGCAAGGCTGTGCCATGGGGGGCACCTGTACTTGGAAGATGAAAGAAGGTCAAGGATCGCAGAGGCCAGACACCTACGAAAGCTCCATGTGGAAAGGCCTGAATAGAAGGGCATCAGATCCAGGGCATGAGGGGCAGAGCTGGGGAGTATCCAGTTTTGCCGTTGAGAAACCGTGTGTGTGTGTGTGTGTGCGCGCGCGCACGTGCGTGTGTGTGTGCACGCGCATGCAGGTGTGTGCACGTGTGTACATAGGTGTGCACATGTACAGTGGACTATAATTACAAGAAAACCTCTCCTCTGTAATCCCAGCCGCTTTCTCTCCTGTGACCTTCCTCTCTCTCATCTCCCCTTCCCAGCATCTTCTTTTGTCTCAGTCGTTTAGGCGACTGCCCTTGCTGCTCCCATGTCACCAGCTGCTCTTTTTTTAAAGCAAAGTTCTGGAGAGAATAGTAGTTAAGAGCAGGAATTTGGCTTTCAGTCCTGGCTTTACCATTTGCTGCTGTGTAACTAAGGTAGACCAGCTATCCTCCCAAGTCACTCAGTGAATTAGGGGTGAAAACATGGACCTTGCTGAGATATTAAAGCAACATCAAGTTATTACAGTACCTGGCTCGTCGTGAGTGGCAAATAACTTGTCTTTCTTATAAATTGCAGCCTACATTTACCTCTCTATCTTTCTTGCTTCCTTCATTCTCTCATTTCTTTCTTCACTATCCCTACAACTTCTCCCTTTTCTCCCAGGTTAGGCTCTGAAAAGAAAGTCTGGAATCAGAAATCTCAGAAGGAGAAATGTCCTAATTCCTTTACTTCTTAATAATTAGGCTTGAACATGTGCTTGCTTGACTTTGCTCAGCCGCAGCTCACTGTTTTGGCTGGCATGTTGAGCTCGTTGGAGATAAGATCACATTCTGTGAAGTTTATATCGTAAGTATTGTTGATAGAATCTGGGAGGAAGTACAATAATTGAGTGTTTCCAAGAATATTGGGAACTTTCTAACAAACCGTGTGTAGTTTTGAAACTAGAGAAGCAGGAGGGAAATTTTGAACTTATTCCTCCACTGAAACCCTGGAGTTTGAGTTGTTTTCCAGTAACAGTAGAGTTCTTCAGAATATCAACTGGGGCAGCGGGGAACACCTGCTGCAACATCTAAGCTGAGCAGATCTCCGTTAGTTTTACAGTCTATGCATAAGGTACCACATCAAGAATAAAAATCCTTCATAAATTATCTGCTTGCAGGATTTATTAATAAATTATTAATTATTGTTTATTAATAATATTTTTCAATCCTATCATGGAGCATATCATCCCCATCAGGAACTGGAAGGTGTGCAATGCTGGAGCGAGTGTAGGAGGTGAGAAGCCAAGGGTGCAGTCGAAAGGAGCCACTAATCAGCAGGTGGCAACCCAGTTGCTTCCTAACAGCAATGGTTTCAGAAATCAAATTGGCTGTTTTCTATCACTGAGTGGTGACAGCTGCTTGGCAAAGAAATTGTGCAGGAAATTGGAATGTCACTCAAGCCATCAGATAAAACCTAGCCATAGAGGGCAGTCTGATCTTTCCGTAGACAGTTCCAGGGACTACCTTTCTCATGCCAATCAAGAGCTTTCTCCCTGTGCTCAAAATTCCATGCTCTGGGGTCTCATTAACTACCATGACCTATTCAGGGGCTGAAGTAACATATGACTTGGCTCTTCCACTCCAGAGACTCACAGGACCTAGAACTGTGCTGCTTTTACCACCAGTGTGAGTGACAGGGCTGCCTGTGCGTGAGCGGTCTTGAAAGCAGAGATCAGCATGAATCGGGGAGCCAGATGCAAGCGTGAGCAGGTGATGGGGGGTGGTTCTATCAATACAGCCCCCAGCTGCTCACAAAGCCCTTCTGCTTGCTTTATGTCACCACCCACCTGCCTCCTACCACTACCTCCCAAAATGGGAAAGCCTAAAAAGGTGGACAATTCCCTGTCGATGTGGATGTAGACAGAAATCGAACATTCTGACGGTGATGGGAGCTGTGGCAGGCTTCACTCTACCTGGAACACAACTGTCATTCATGAGGTATTCTTCTCACATACTTAATGTCTCTATCGTCCCCAAGTCTTGGCAGTTGAAGCAGGTATTTCTCCCCATTTCACAGATGCAGAAGTTCAGGGAGATTAAATGGCTTTAGTTGAGGCCACTGAGTAGGAAGGAGAGCAAAGACACACAGGCTGCTGCTGGGGCGCTTTGTTCTGATCCCTCCACATCCCAGCGTCTCCACAGAGGTAAGGAGAATCAAACAGGCTATCACCTGGGGAAGGAAGAGTGGATGCAAGACGGAGGAAAGCGATCAGTTCCTCTTCTCAGGTATTATTCATTCGGATTTTCTCAATTTGTCACAGGTGCCAGAAAATACCGCAACATGAAAAGTGACAACCAGAGCTTCTCAGGGGACCCCCCTAAAGCCTTCATCCTTCTGGGTGTGTCTGACAGGCCATGGCTGGAACTCCCTCTCTTTGTGGTCCTCCTGCTGTCCTACGTGCTGGCCGTGTTGGGGAATGTCGCCATCATCCTGGCATCCCAGCTGGATCCTCAACTCCACAGTCCCATGTACACCTTCCTCAGCCACCTGTCCTTCCTGGACCTCTGCTACACCACCACTACGGTCCCTCAGATGCTGGTCAACATGGGCAGTTCCCAGAAGACCATCAGCTACGGAGGCTGCACTGTGCAGTATGCAGTCTTCCACTGGCTGGGATGCACGGAGTGCATCCTCCTGGCCGCCATGGCCCTGGATCGCTACGTGGCCATCTGTGAGCCCCTGCACTACGCCGTTCTCATGCACCGTGCTCTCTGTCAGCAGCTCGTGGCTCTGGCCTGGCTCAGTGGCTTCGGCAACTCCTTCGTGCAGGTGGTCCTGACTGTGCAATTGCCGTTCTGTGGGCGGCAGGTGCTAAACAACTTTTTCTGCGAGGTGCCGGCCATGATCAAGCTGTCGTGTGCCGACACAGCTGTGAATGATGCCACGCTGGCTGTGCTGGTGGCCTTCTTCGTGTTGGTGCCCCTGGCTCTCATCCTTCTCTCCTATGGCTTTATTGCCCGCGCAGTGCTCAGGATCCAATCCTCCAAGGGACGACACAAGGCCTTTGGGACGTGTTCCTCCCACCTGATGGTCGTCTCCCTCTTCTACCTACCTGCCATTTACATGTATCTTCAGCCCCCTTCCAGCTACTCCCAAGAGCAGGGCAAATTTATTTCTCTCTTCTATTCCATAATCACCCCCACTCTCAATCCCTTCATCTACACCCTGAGAAATAAAGATGTGAAAGGGGCTCTGAGGAGACTCCTGGCCAGGATCTGGAGGCTCTGTGGACGATGAGGACGTGAGATGTAGCATCTCCATCAATTAAAGAGCACTGCACAAGTCTATTGTGCACTCAGAGCATCTTTCACTTAAGGAGTTAATACCCAGAGAGCTCAAAAACTCTGTCTTCAAACATCTCACTTCCTGTCATAATACCCCAAATCCCATAGCGACAAAGTTCATTTTAAAAGTGTAATTCTAAGAGGTCATATGTTTTTAAGCATTGTTTAAATAGACTTCAATAAGTATGTGTGGAATTATTTAACTTCCAATTTCCTGATTCTTTTCTCTTTTCCTCTTCCTGTATTTCTTTTATTTTTTCCCCATTTGTGTCTTCTATTACTCCTAAGTATACACGAGATGAAGCTGAAATACAATCTTATTTTACTTATATGTTTACTTATGTGTTTTACTTATGAATATGTGTTTTTCTCCATATACTTAAATCTCCACAAATTTTACATGACTTTTTCAAACAATTCCAGGAATTAAGTAGATTGCTATCTCTTTCCTGTGATTTTGGATTTTTTTTTTCTCTGTAGTTTACATTTTCTTCTATAGAAAGTTTTTCCATGAAATGTAAACTAGTACAAAAACTAGTAGAACCACTATGGAAAACAGTGTGAAGATTCCTTAAAGAACTAAAAGTAGATCTACCATTTGATCCAGCTATGCCACTACTAGGCATCTACCCAGAGGAAAATAAGTCATCATATGAAAAAGTTACTTGCTCATGCGTGTTTATAGCAGCACAATTTGCAATTGGAAAAATACGGAACCAGCCCAAATGCCCATCAGTCAACTAGTGAATAAAGAAAATGTGAGATAGGCTGGGCGCAGTGGCTCATGCCTATAATCCCAGCACTTTGGGAGGCCAAGGCGGGTGAATCACGAGGTCAGGAGTTCAAGACCAGCCTGGCCAAGATGGTGAAACCCCGTCTCTACTAAAAATACAAAAATTAGCTGGGCATGGTGGCACACGCCTGTAATCCCAGCTACTCAGGAGGCTGAGGCAGAGAATTGCTTGAACCCGGAAGGCGGAGGTTGCAGTGAGCTGAGGTCGCGCCACTGCACTCCAGACTGGGCGACAGAGACTCCATCTCAAAAAAAAAAACAAGAAAAAGAAAATGTGAGATATATACCATGGAAAAACACTATTCAGTCATAAAAAGGAATGAAATAATGGCATTCTCAGCAACCTGGCCAGTTTTAAAGTCCTAATGCCCAAAAGTTATCTTTCTCTCTTTCAAGCTCAGCTATGTGTTTCTGATTACATTATTTATACAGGGTATCAAAGTGTTTGTAGCAGGAAGGCAGTTGGTAATAGTTCACCAACATGCAGAAACCCAATCTCCAGTTGGTGCTGCTCAGAAGTGCTAACAAGACAGTTTGCAATAGAATGTAAATCTCATACTGTTTCCCTTATAAAAACAGTCTTAAGGGTTTTTTTAAATGTCAGCTCATCTAAAAGGCATGTTTAATAATGTGATTGTTTTACATTCTTACACGAACTCCTATATTGACAGTTTATAGACCACACTTTGAGTAGCAAAGTGTGGCTACTTTGACGGCTAATTGTATAGAGGAAGTAGTATTTCCATCCTGAGCAATTCCATGCGGTTTAAGAGTTGTCCATGTGTTGAGAAGCAATTAGTAAATATTTCCTTAAAACTTAATGCTCTGTGAAGTATGATAGATGAACTGTTCCTCGGATGGGATAAATCCAAAATAAGCTGTTATCAACTGAAAGCAAGATGCATCTTCTGCATAATACTTCTAGTTAGGAGTGCAGGCTCTGATACTCTCAAACCTTTCACTCCACGATTTTCAATTCTATCCTAGCAAAGATGAAATTCCACTCATTACAGTTAGAGTGAGGTAGTTTAAAAATTATCTACAGTAGAACCATTTGCCAAAGTGACTTTTAAAATGCACCAAGCAATTTAATTTACCTTTAGTGCTTTAGAGAAATAATTTAAAAAATTTCCAGGTACTCTTTTTTAAAATTAAGAAAAGGAAACAATTTAATTAAATAAATACAAAAAAAGTTTTACATATTCCTGAATTTTCAACTAGCCACAAAAAGCATGGATTATTCTTATTAGAAAACAACAGTATTACAAAAATTTTAAATAAATAAATAGCTGCCATAAAATTTCAACATAATATACAGTCAACTAGTTCTGTGTTATGGTCAGTTAATAGAAAGATAGCAGGAATGATGATATGAGCAAAAGTAAACAGAACAAAGAAGAAAAAAATGAGAGGAAAAAGAAAGACAGTGAGAAGAGAAAAATAAAGACAAAGAAAGTGCTTTATTGAACGAGCTAATTACATGAGGTCACCAAGAGGAACATCCTGTAACTGAGGCGCTGGGATGAGAACAACATCCGCTGCTGTCAGTGCCCTGGTGTCTCCCTCACCCGGATGCAAAGGAGCCGCCCCAGCGCTCCACACGAAGGCCCGGCGGGCGCGCTCTCCTCTCCGACACTCCCCCGGAAGGATCACAGAGCTGTGCTCTTGGCCTGCATGGGTGGCAGCTCGCTCCACCTGAGGACCCCCGGCTGGAGGGACCCCCGGCTGGAGGGCCCGGAGACCGCCGCGTCTGGCAGCGCTGCTTCCACCCCTACCACGAAGGCTCAAAGACGATGGTCAGCTCCGGCTTTTCTTCTTGAAGTGTTTCTAACGCACTTTTTGTCTCATAATTGAAATACATTTCAGACAACCTGTAAAAGCAAATAGAGAGCCTGGGTTGCACACTTCAGATAACTCTCTCAGAGTCGTTAACCTTAGAAGTGTCTTCTCTCCATTTCCCTAAACTCCACACACTTCTAAAATGTTAAACAAACAAAAAAAAAAAAAGAAAAAAGACCACAACTCCCAGCGTGCTCCGCGTGCTCGCCGCTGTCGCCGCCGCCGAGACCAAGATGGCCGCGAGACTCCGCGGCTTCCTCAAGAATGCCTGGGCCGAGGAGCCGGCGCTCGTCGTGTCCTTCGTCGTCGGGAGCCTCGCTTACACCAAGTACTCCATCACCATCAACAAGGCCACGCCCCACAACTACCCAGTGCCCGTCCGCGATGACGGGACCAGCCGGACGTGCCCAGCCACCCCCAGACCCCCAGGGCCCCAGCCTGGAGTGGCTGAAGAAACTGTGAGCGCCCCCAATGACAGAGGACGCCCCTCCCACAGCTCCCAGTAAAAATGTGGGGAAAAAAAAAAGCTCTAAGTGCCCGATGTGGTCCTGTTATGTTTTTAACTATGTAGTTGGGAACTTTTTAAGCATACATAAAAGTATAGAAAATAGTATAATGAACCCCCTGTGTCCATTACCCAAGTTCGACTATTAAACAGGTCATGTCAACCTGTTTCTTCTATTGCCCACCCACTCCTCCCACCCATGGATTATTTTAAATATTGCATTCAATGCATCTGTCAATAATTCACTTTGTGACACTAAAATATAATTACAAGATCACTATCACACCAAAACTGTTTAACAATAATTTCTTAGTATCACTGTATGTCCAGTCAGCATTTACACTTCCTTAACTGTCTTTTTTACCTTATGTTCATTTAGTCATGAACCCAACCAATTCTACACATTGCATTTGCCCAGGATGCCTCTCACATTTTCTTTGATGTAAGTTCTTCCTCCTCTTTAATAAAGTTTCCCTTGCAACTTAACTAATAAATCCGCCCGTTTGTCCTGCACCATTTCTAACCATCTCAATGTGGTGGTGTTATATATTGAATGCTTGTCTTCCTTAAAATTTCCCATGATGAAGCCCGAACCCCTAATGTGATGGTACTTAAAGGTGAGGCCCTTGGGAGGTAGGTAGAGTTAGATGAAGTTGTGAGGGTGGGGCCCTCAGGATGGGGTGAGTGCCCTTCCAGGAGAGATACCAGAGAGTTTGTTCTTTCTCCCCTGTCTTCTCTCCCTTGCCTCCCCTCACTCCATGCAATCACATAGCAAGAAGGTAGCCATCTGCAAGTCAGGAAGAGGACTCTCACCAGCAACCAAATTCATCAGAGACTTGATTTTGGACTTTCCAGCCTCCAGTATTGTGAGAAAATAAATCTCCGTGTTTGAGTCACAGTCTAGAACAGCTTGTTATCGTAGCCTGAGAAAACAGGTTGATTGCATTCATGGATTCTTCAATCTATTTTGAGCCTGTCCCTCAGCCTGGGTCCTGAATGTCCCTCAGGGCTAGGTCAGTGACTCTACATGTAGCAGTGTCCCCAGCTTTGACCTGACCAATCCTTCTTTTCTTCCCCCATCTCTCTTAGCTCTGGGAATGTTGGCTGGTCCTGCAGCAAACGTGCTCCATTACGTCCGCACAAGGATGCAAGGCTGATTCAAACTTGTATTTATTCAAACCTGCATTCCAACAGGTTCTCAGTCTTGAGATCATTAATATGGACAGAAGTCCCTGGACTAAAGGAATTTATATTTTGGGAGCAGAGATAGATAATAAATAAACAAGAAAACGACATAGTACATAAGATGTGCCTCACTGCAGAGGAGAATGAGAAGAAAAAAGCGCTTGCTTCTATTTTCAGTAGAATAGTCAAAGACAGCCTCGCAGAGAGGAAGACCTTTAAGAGAGAATTTAGGAATGTACAGAGAATAATGCATGTGGATACTGAAGGGGAGAGAGTTCTAGGCAGGAAGAAAAGCAAGTGCAAAAATCCAGAGATGACAGTGTTCTTGCAAAACAGCAAGGAGACCACTGTACTGGGGTAGAATAAGCAAGGGTTGGGAGAAGCGGAATCTTCAGAAGCAGGAGAGGCTGGATTATGTGGGGCATGGAATACACCATGAGTTTGTTGCTCTGATTATGAAAGTGATAAGTCACCAGACGATGTTGACAAGAGTGATATGATCTGAGTTACATTTTAGCTGAATCCCTTGTCTGCTAAAATCAGAATAACAGATGCAGGGTGGCCTGTCAGAATGCCACCATGACAATCCAGACACCAGGTGATGGTGGCTTGAGCCAGGGAAGAAGCCATGAAGCTGGCCAGAAGTGGTCAGGGAGTGGCCAAGCTGGGAAGGCAGAGCTCACAGGATGTGCTGACACATTGGACGTGGTTATAAGAAAAAAGAGACAGTGACGACAGAACCAGAAATGTTTTGGCCTGAGCAACTTGGAGGAAGTGACCATTGACTGAGATGGGGAAGAATCAGATTTCAGGTAGAAGAGAATAGCATGGGTGTGGATCTGGATGTGACGTTTGAGAGGTTTATTAAATCTCCAAAAAGAAAGATCAGACAAGCACGCAGACACAGAATTTACGGACATGTAATCTGGAGGCCACAGCACATATATCATGAATCCAGAAGACCAGGTAATTTAAATGAGGGAGAAAGTATAGGGAAGAAAAATTAGCCCAGCAACTGAGCTCTGAGGATTCAACACATAAGGGTCAGGATGATGAAGAAAAGGCCAGAAAGGAGACTGAGTAGAAAGAGCTGATGAAATAGGAGAAAACCCAGGAGAACATGTTGGCCTTAAAGCCAAGCAGTGAAAACATCTTCAG